GTTTTTTTTTTTTTTTTTTTTGGGGTTCTTAATTCACTTTTTTTTCACTGCACTCAGGTTTCTTTGCTAGCAGAATACTTGGAAAAGTGGGAAAAAGATGATAAAGCTGAGCTTGTAATTATCAAGGTTACTTCCAATTTTTCCTGAAATCTTGAACTAGCATTGGTGGTCGTGGTTTAATAGATCAATGCACAACTTTGATGAAGTTTTCAATCCCATTTAGATATTAGCCACTTGATATGCTTTGGTGTTCTTGTATAGGGATCGGGTCGAGCTTTTTCAGCCGGTGGGGACTTGAAGATGTTCTATGATGGCAAGAACTCAAGTAAATGCTTTCTCTTGTGAAAATATTTAAGTTCTTAATATATACAGAAAGTGAAGTTGCTCTTGAACCTTCTTTGGCAGAGGATTCCTGCCTTGAAGTGGCTTACAGAATGTATTGGCTTGGCTTTCACATTCATACTTATAAGAAAACCCAGGTAATGCTTGAAATAAAGTAATCCTATTGCCTGCGTTTCCATTTGAAAATGGGTTCCCTGTAGACTGCATGATTCCAAGTTTATGCCACTATTTAAGGGTATCACTGAAGAATTCATGTTATCAATAGGTGGCTCTGGTCCATGGAATTTCAATGGGTGGAGGCGCATCTTTAATGGTCCCAATGAAGTTCTCGGTAGTCACAGAAAAAACTGTGAGTATGAATATGATCCTAGTGAGATGTTTATAGAAACACCTCTATCTTTAGTGTTTACTGGTTTGATATCTATGTCTGCATAGTGACGTCAAAATTTTCTGTGGCATATTTCATGATAGGTATTTGCCACTCCGGAAGCTAGTATTGGCTTTCATACTGATTGTGGTTTCTCATATATACTATCCCATCTTCCTGGGCATCTCGGTAAGCATGCAAATATACTAAGAGCCATAATATCTGAGGATGTATATGAGGTAATTGTTGTATACCAATATTAATAACGAGAACATATAAGAATAAACAATACCATGTTGGAAACACCCTCTTGCTCCCTGCTTTTGAAATGTACTAATCTTCTATTTTTTTGTCCCTCTTGAGGTGATTTTCTCATTCCTTCACTATAATTTCCTTCCTCCGAAACCAAGTCTCGGAAGTATTAGCTCACAAGATTTGCCCCTCAAGTGATCTGAAAAGCTAAGAGACTGCATTATACACATCCATCATTATTAGATTCTTTGATATAATTCTTCTTCATAGTTACTATGTCAAACTAAAATTTGCTATTGCACTGTTTTTGTTCATCAGAAATTGTCGGATCTAGAGAAGCGTTTGATAAGCTTAAACTCTGGAGATGAGAATGCAGTCAAAGCTGCGATTGAAGAATTTGCGGTGGAAGTCCAGCCTGATGAAGAAAGTGTTTTAAACAAGTAATAAATCTTAGTTGCTGATGTTTAATTGTTAATTCCACTTCAATCCTTAGCATCAACATGCATAGCTCCATATCTCGATTTCGATTTCCTTTCCTTACCTTTCAGGCAGTCAATAATTGATGAGTGCTTCTCGAAAGATACAGTGGCTGAGATTATAAAATCATTTGTAAGTTACCTTTTGCTCATTTCTGATGTAACAGAATAATGAACAATTTCTTCGTAAAAATGGAGATTCAGGTATTTGCTCAGGCGTAAATTCTACAAATGTGTGTTTGTTTTTCAGGAAGCAGAGGCAACCAAAGAAGGAAATGGATGGATAGGTCCAGTTCTTAAGGGCTTAAAAAGATCATCCCCTACAGGATTGAGAATAACACTGAGATCGGTATGATTTCTCGCAGTTTGATCAGTTGCACATTAGGTTTTAAGTCCTAGTGAATACGTTTTCAAAAGGCAGTAGCCATGGTATTGCTTGTTAGTAAAGATGCCATCATCTGTTTTGGTCTGTGTCTCTCTGATTTGAACATGTATGGAAATGCAACCCGTAGATAATTCCTTCTGCCCTTTTCATGCTTAAGCTGCCTCTGACCTTGTATTCTCCAGATTCGCAAAGGCAGGAAGCAAACATTGCCTGAAAGTCTGAAGAAGGAATTTAGACTCACAATCAATATACTAAGAGCCATAATATCTGAGGATGTATATGAGGTAATTGTTGTATACCAATATTAATAACGAGAACATATAAGAATAAACAATCCCATGTTGGAAACACCCTCTTGCTCCCTGCTTCTGAAGTGTACTAATCTTCTATTTTGATATAAAGGGTATTAGAGCTCTCACTATTGACAAGGATAATGCCCCTGAGGTACCATCTTCTCTTTCTATTAAAATGTTTCCAATTCTATGTGTTACGGTTTACGATCAAATTAGTTTGAGTACATATCTCTAAAGATTACATAGTCATCTCTCAAGACAAGCAAATCTAAGGAACTCCTGTTGTATTTGGTTGTAGTGGAACCCACCATCTCTTGACAATGTGGGTGATGAGAAGATAGACCAAGTGTTTCAGCTGTTTGAAGAAGATTTGGAGCTCCAGATTCCTGAAAAGGAAAAACACAGGTAAGGGTAGCTTCATAATTTATAATCTGGACAATGTTTTGGCTCAGGATAGAATCATGAACATGCTTTTTATTCAATCAAAATTGCAGGTGGGATGGCAAATATGAGAATTCACCTTATGCATCTTTGAAGGTGACTGACTAAACAAGATGCATTTCTGATCAGCTGTGAGCTTGTTCCTTGAAGTAATGTATTGTTCTCCTATGTTGTATCTCCCCAAGCCGATTTTCATTAGTTATTCGGTTCGATGAATAAGCTTGTAACTTAAATCAGAGTTTCGGTTCTCATTGTATGCAATTATTTGCTTCAAGTTCTGCCTTTTTTTAAGATCATGTTCATGTGTCAAGGTGAAAACATAATGGTGTAATAAACTATTGGGTTATTGTTTTCAAGTACTGCCTAATGTTTTCTAGTTTTGTCACATCTAAATCCTTTCTTTCACGTTCTTCCATCTAAATGGAGCCTAAACGTACAAAAGCTTAACTATTTGCTAATTCAAATTACTCACAATGGTTAGCTAACTGGATGAATTTCATTCAATTTGGTCACAAATTATGTGTCCTGAGAGACCAGAAATAGAGGGGGAAATATCAGCAGAAACAACCAAAAAGACCCACACACACACCCCAAAATTAAAAAAAAAAAGTTCAGATGAGCAGTGGCATGGTGCTATTGCCCAAACAAGTACAAAATCACAAGCATTATTCTTATTTTTCAGAATAATTTACTCAGTAACTATTTGCTAATTGAAATTACTCACAGTGGCTAGCTAATTAGTTGAATTTATCTCAATTTGGTCACAAATTATCCGTGTCTTGAGAGACCACCAGAAATAGAGGGGGAAATATCAGTAGAAACGACCAAAAAGACCCACACAAAAGATAAAATTCAGATGAACAGTGGCATGGTGCTATTGCTCAGACAAATAGAAAATCACAAGCATTATTCTTATCTTTAAGAATAATTAAAATAAGGTCTAGTTTGATTGTTCATGCTTAACCAAGAGCTAAATTGAATGTTTACCCACTTTGAAATAATGTTTACTTATATTCTTATGATAAATGCTTGAGGTTTTCTGTACTTGAAAGTTTGGCACTTATAGGTCGAAGCAGCTTGTGGGGTAGATTTTACATTTTAGATTTAAGGTTCTCTTTCATGCATGGTGGATTTTACAAAAATACCATTTTGCACTTGCATTTAACAGAAAAGTTAACAAAATTGACGGCATGGCCATTTGTCCTAACGAAGCTGAAGTTGAAGGACCACGGGAACGATTTTGGAAATTGAGGGACTCAAATGCAAAACGGGTCTAAGTTCAGGGACTAATACAACGATTAACCCTTGATTTAAAATAGTAAAATCTCACTTGCAATGATGTAATTTAGTTCATTGCAATAGAGAGGGCTATGTGATGAACCTTTTATTGGATCGCAATAGGCTAATCATGGGACCCACATGTCAATAAAAAAATATAAAAAATACAGCAATTAATGCATTATGCCATTAATGTATAATACCAATTAATGCATGTGTAGTATGCAACCTTTCTTTGCCTATATTTTTGAAGAAAATCCAAATATACAAGTTTGGCACGAATTTTTTTTTTAAAGATCTCTTTGATAATATTTCAGTGGTACAATTTTTAGTGTTATTAAGTTTATCTATTTAATTTTATTTGAGTATGTAAAAAAATATGTAAGAAGATATAACTATTGATTTGAAATTATTGAACTGTACCATTGTAAATAAAATTGCAGTTGAATTCAATAGATGCCAAAACATGCATTGAACTATTTAACCATCATTGCGGATGCTTTAAGTGGAGGAATTACTACAGGTTTTGAAAATCACAAATTTTGTATAGTAGCGAGTTAAGTGGCAGCTTTTCTTTGTCCTATGTTAAAAAGATAAAAAGAGGCTTTTGTTCCTTGTGGGTTTTATGACTGCGGAAGCTTCCATAACTCCGGTTACTCTCAATAATCTAAGAAACTACATTTAAAAGAGAAAAGTAGTAAGAAACCGCAAGGAAAAATCTGGTTTTGATGAAACTTCCTCATCTACCTTTCCCATAAGTCCGAAAATGAAAAATGAAAAAAGAGAGGAGTAAATGATGGGTGGTGTTGGTGGTAAATTGGCAACCACACTCGTAGGCCGTAGCTAATCTCAATGGATCAAAACCATGGTGTAGTTGGTGGTGGTTGGTAGATTAAACGTACACAGCAAGGCTTAGAGAAACAGCTGGACATAAAAATAAAGACTTGGACATGGATGCTCTCTCTCTCTCTCTCTCTCTCTCTCTAACAAACGAGTAGCTATCAAACAGTCAATAGCCAACGTTAAATACTGCACCATCGTCACCCTCTTCACAAACCCACTTTGGTCGCTGCATTTTTTGTACAAGCTCCACGGTTCATGTAAGTTCTCATTGCTTCTTTGATAGATTTGCTGTCGAGTCAGCTCAAAAAAATTGAACTGCAATGCTTCTAATTCTACTTTGAAAGATTGGAATGAAATGGGCAAGTTTCTTGGCGGTTGGCCCCCGATTCTGGAACTAATTATCTGGGATTAGTTCACTGCTCAAAAAATTCATGTTTTCCTCATTGCCCCTTGTTGTTAATTTGTTTGTGCAGCTTGTTGGCTTCTAATCCACTAGTTAATTGATCATTTAAATGGCACAAGAAGTTGTAAATTCAGATGAGGTAATCTCCTTGTGCATTTGTAATTGCACCAACCTTTCTTTTGATGTTTATATTTTCAGTTTTCTTCTTGCAAATAGTGAACATGATAACTGTCTGCTAATTAGTAATTACCATATGGGTGTTTATGTAATCTTTTAGGTTGTTCTTGGAGAAGAAATAGACCATGTGAGGTTGATCACCTTGAACAGGCCTCGTCATTTGAATGTCATCTCATCAAAAGTGGTATGCTCACAAAGTCAACTAGTTTTGTTTAAGTTCTTGGTTTTTTTTTTTTTTTTTTGGGGTTCGCCTGCGTTTCCATTCGAAAATGGGTTCCCTGTAGACTGTATGATTCCAAGTTTATGCCACTATTTAAGGGTATCACTGAAGAATTCATGTTATCAATAGGTGGCTCTGGTCCATGGAATTTCAATGGGTGGAGGCGCATCTTTAATGGTCCCAATGAAGTTCTCGGTAGTCACAGAAAAAACTGTGAGTATGAATATGATCCTAGTGAGATGTTTATAGAAACATCTCTATCTTTAGTGTTTACTGGGTTGATATCTATGTCTGCATAGTGACGTCAAAATTTTCTGTGGCATATTTCATGACAGGTATTTGCCACTCCGGAAGCTAGTATTGGCTTTCATACTGATTGTGGTTTCTCATATATACTATCCCATCTTCCTGGGCATCTCGGTAAGCATGCAAATATAGGGGAAAATAATTTTTCCTGGATTTTACTGAAATTGATTGGTATTGTGTGGGGAACGCAGGGGAGTTCTTTGCCTTAACAGGAGCAAGACTGAATGGTAAGGAATTGGTTGCTGCTGGATTGGCAACCCATTTTGTCCCTCTTGAGGTGATTTTCTCATTCCTTCACTATAATTTCCTTCCTCCGAAACCAAGTCTCGGAAGTATTAGCTCACAAGATTTGCCCCTCAAGTGATCTGAAAAGCTAAGAGACTGCATTATACACATCCATCATTATTAGATTCTTTGATATAATTCTTCTTCATAGTTACTATGTCAAACTAAAATTTGCTATTGCACTGTTTTTGTTCATCAGAAATTGTCGGATCTAGAGAAGCGTTTGATAAGCTTAAACTCTGGAGATGAGAATGCAGTCAAAGCTGCGATTGAAGAATTTGCGGTGGAAGTCCAGCTTTATGAAGAAAGTGTTTTAAACAAGTAATAAATCTTAGTTGCTGGTGTTTAATTGTTAATTCCACTTCAATCCTTAACATTAACATGCAAAGCTTCATATCTCGATCTCAATAACCTTTCCTTACCTTTCAGGCAGTCAATAATTGATGAGTGCTTCTCCAAAGATACAGTGGCTGAGATTATAAAATCATTTGTAAGTTACCTTTTGCTCATTTCTGATATAACAGAATAATGAACAATTTCTTCGTAAAAATGGAGATTCAGGTATTTGCTCAGGCGTAAATTCTACAAATGTGTGTTTTTCAGGAAGCAGAGGCAACCAAAGAAGGAAATGGATGGATAGGTCCAGTTCTTAAGGGCTTAAAAAGATCATCCCCTACAGGATTGAGAATAACACTGAGATCGGTATGATTTCTCGCAGTTTGATCAGTTGCACATTAGGTTTTAAGTCCTAGTGAATATGTTTTCAAAAGGCAGTAGCCATGGTATTGCTTGTTAGTAAAGATGCCATCATCTGTTTTGGTCTGTGTCTCTCTGATTTGAACATGTATGGAAATGCAACCCGTAGATAATTCCTTCTGCCCTTTTCATGCTTAAGCTGCCTCTGACCTTGTATTCTCCAGATTCGCAAAGGCAGGAAGCAAACATTGCCTGAAAGTCTGAAGAAGGAATTTAGACTCACAATCAATATACTAAGAGCCATAATATCTGAGGATGTATATGAGGTAATTGTTGTATACCAATATTAATAACGAGAACATATAAGAATAAACAATACCATGTTGGAAACACCCTCTTGCTCCCTGCTTTTGAAATGTACTAATCTTCTATTTTGATATAAAGGGTATTAGAGCTCTCACTATTGACAAGGATAATGCCCCTAAGGTACTAATCTCCTGTTTCTATTAAAATGTTTCCAATTCTACGTCTTACGATTTACGATCAAATTAGTTTCAGTACATATCTCTAAAGATTACAGTCATCTCTAAAGATAAGCAAATTTAAGGAAGACCTGTTGTTGTTGATTGTAGTGGAACCCACCATCTCTTGACCATGTGGGTGATGAGAAGATAGACCAAGTGTTTCAGCCGTTTGAAGAAGATTTGGAGCTCCAGATTCCTGGAAAGGAAGAACACAGGTAAGTGTGGCTTCATAATTTATAATCTGGGCAATGTTATGGCTCAGGATAGAATCATGAACGTGCGTTTTATTCAATCAAAATTGCAGGTGGGATGGCAAATATGAGAATTCACCTTATGCATCTTTGAAGGTGACTGACTAAACAAGCACCTGTTGCGGTTGATTGTAGTGGAACCCACCATCTCTTGACCATGTGGGTGATGAGAAGATAGACCAAGTGTTTCAGCCGTTCGATGAATAAGCTTGTAACTTAAATCAGAGTTTCGGTTCTCATTATATGCAATTATTTGCTTCAAGTACTGCCTTTTTCTAAGATCATGTTCATGTGTCAACGTGAAAACAAAATGGTGTAATAAACTAGTGGGTTACTGTTTTCAAGTACCGCCCAATGTTTTCTAGTTTTGTAACAAATTTAGCTTAATTGTCCCATCTAAACCCTTTCTTTCACGTTCTTCCATCTAAGTGAAGCCTAAACGTACAAAAGCTTAACTATTTGCTAATTCAAATTACTCACAATGGTTAGCTAACTGGATGAATTTCATTCAATTTGGTCACAAATTATGTGTCCTGAGAGACCAGAAATAGAGGGGGAAATATCAGCAGAAACAACCAAAAAGACCCACACACACACCCCAAAATTAAAAAAAAAAAGTTCAGATGAGCAGTGGCATGGTGCTATTGCCCAAACAAGTACAAAATCACAAGCATTATTCTTATTTTTCAGAATAATTTACGCAGCAACCACCAAGATACCTTCGTTTTGCAGAATGATTTACCCAGCAGCAAACTAAACTATGCTCATACATACATGAACTTCAACAATGCTCACAATACATCAAGTATGAAAACAAAACTCATCTGCCTTTACATTCATCCTGCCATGTACAATGTAAAGAAAAATGCACACGATACACAGTTGAAAAAAAAAAAGATTTTTCAAAAAAAGGGGTAGGATGGAGGCAGGAAAACTATGAAACGCCTTGAAAAGATAACCGGTCCCTAAGAGTATCAAAAATTGATGAAGCCGCAGCATTTTGTGAAAAAGTCAATTTTAGTCGACCAAGCAATTCACCATCCTTTGCCTGGGAGGCAGCATCAGCAGCTTCCTTGGCCATGCCAATCCGAGCATAGGACTGTAAAAACATTAAAGGTGGGCTTAATCAATGAGATGTAGCAAAGTATGAAGATTCAAGCGAATGCTAAATTGCAGGGCTAAGGTTTACATTACCTCCGCTCTTTCTCGAGGATCTGTGAGTTTTGGGATATATTTCAAAGCTTCTCCTTTTTCATCTGCTTCGACGCATGCCTCTACAAATGGTCTGTAACCTATCATATGAAAGATAAAAGGGTATCAACTTAGCATGGCTGGCAGACTTCTATGGAATGTCCCCAAAAAGGGAGGAAAATAAGGCAAAAGTAGATTTCGAATGTTGCTTATTCCTCCTCCCTTCTCTCAGCAACAAAAATGTGATTGCTTTAATTAAATGAACACCTTACCAATTGGTGGTCTTTTTTCCTTTGAGAACTTCTCCAAGGCATCCCAATCTCTGATTGTAGCCAAAGCAAAAACTTTTAGCCAATACCATCTCTTCTCAGAAACCTGAGACGATTTCACATAAAGCAGTCAAAGTCTATATTGCAGTCAATGCGAAAAACCAAATAAGAGTTTGTAAACAATCACAGAACATGCCAACTGTTTTATTTTGCATCAAACGTGAGAATAAACTCAAAGTTTTTACTTCGTTAAAAAACAGAAAAGGAATGAGGTTCGAGGAAAAAGACTTGGAAGGAGGCGCAAGCTTCAGTCTCACAAACCTTGAATTCTGTTTTCACTTTCATTGCAGCTCGATGATTTCCCAGAACAATACATGTTCGAATTGTATCACTGATACTGGAATCAACAAAAATGGCCTGCTTTGTTGACACTTCTAACTCATGCTGCATTCTGTAGAAATACAATGTAATCAAAAAAACAGTAAAAAACAAAACAAAACAAAAATCAAGTTATGAGATTTTACATCTTATACACACAAATCAATGACTAAAGAAAAAAGAAAACATCCAGTCTTGCATATACAATAGCGTCAAACACTAATCTACCATTAATAGGTAGTTATAAATTGGAGTTAATTATTACAATATACTTGTGTAAACTACAATAACATGCTATCCCTTGCAGCCTGGTTAATGCAATGAATGGCATGCACTAGAAATTCAATAGTTCCCCCAACTAATAGCGCAGATAAAACTCAAATCTAACCTCAACAACTTTGCATGCTCTTCAGCAGCCTTCGCCTCAAAGGTATATTCCTTCGTTTCTAAGAAAAGATTCTGGGCCTTCTCAATTATTTTTATGCGTGGACCATGAAGGGGAGATCCTCTGCTTGCCATTGGATTTTTTCCAAGCTCCCAAGATTCTTTCCACAAAAGGAAAGCCACCTCCTACAAAATACAAATTTTATATTTATAGTGAATGCTCCATAAGAGATGTTAATATTCATGAAGTGTTACATCAGACATTGGACAATTAGTTACAACACATTTTGTTCAAAGGGTAGCAACTCGAACATGGGATTACAGCTTGAATATACTTATCCCTCCAAATTTCTTGAAGATTTAAAAGAGCAGGCATTTCTATTAGCTCAACACTAGTGCGAAACAAAAGTCATGACAGAAGAGAGGAAACACAAGGGAATGGTTGCTCCAAGGACAAGAAGACTTGACTTTACATTACACCCTCTCCATACTTTAAAATTTTATCATGGGATGACTGGCGCGAATCTGATACTTAAACCTTTACTTATGAAGACTAAAATTTTCAACGTCTAGATAATGGAACATATGCGACCTACTTATGGTTTCCTTCTTTATAAAGCACACTACGTAAGTTTCAAAGTATGTATCTAACGTGCATTATGCATGTCTTTTGTCTTTCCCTAGAAAAATGCATGTCTATTGTCTATATGTATGCATAAGTATGTATACATGTACAACCAAAAGCCAACTGAAACCTACTTGAAGTTGTCCAGTTGATAGGAAAAAGTCCTTCAAGAATTCATGCTTATAGCACCTGAAACAGACACCAAACAGCTTGTTATGCATGCAATATATAGATCACTTTCCTGTGGCTTACTTTCCTTAGGATGCCTCATGGAATGGAAAGATGAAAATATTTCAGACTAGTGTGTCTATGCCTACCGTGCATAAATTATAAACAAATCACGTGCCAGTGCTCTAGCTTGTATCATTCCAAAGAACTCCAATGGTTGTCTCTGCATCAAATGGAGATTTTTTAATTGTTAAAGATGAATATTGTAGCTATGTGGAAACTTGTAACAGACACACTGGAATACATGTTGAGTTTTCTAAATGTATTACCTTTTGCCAGATATGAAAGAGAACAAGATAAACAAGGTCTGTATCACCACTTTCAATTGCCTTCATTAAAGCTGTATCTTCTTCTCCTATGCTCAACAAGAGAGGAACCTGAAGTCAAAGAATCACAACGAAATATAATTGGCTTCTTTCGCTTTTTCATAATGTGACAACATTTTTTTTTTTGTGGCTCAAAAATCAGGAAAAAAAAGTAATAATATCTTTGCATTCCTCTTTATTTTACAACTTCATAATTTTATAAAAAAGAACCTGTTTGGAGGAGCGTGGTTCATGTTCAACAAGCATAGCAGCTAACTTCCGGCGGCCATTCTTATCTGCATGTGCAGCAACTGCTGCATAGGATATTCCTTTGCATAGTTTCAACTGAAAATATATATAAACAAAAAAAATCCTAAAAGATGGGTTGGTTGCACGAAATAGAATGAGAAAACAAAACACAGTAACAAATGAAGATAACCAATCAACCTTATCAAGTAAGATCTCAAGAAGAGTGGCATCAGAAATTGCTAAGGAAGCTGTAATTTTCGAACATGCCCAGTGCATAATCACCATCTCCTACACAAAGCCAACAAGAGAAGAGATAAGTTCAGATATAAGTGGATTAATTCTACATTCAAAATGGAAAGCAGAAACTATATAGATCTTCTGAAGTACGCTAGTATTTAGTCTAAGAACAAGCATGCATAGCGCAGATAGTATCACTTTAAAAAAAAAAAAATCATTTTCCCCACCTCAACGGCATCCTCCTATCAAATTCAGTTAGACCCTGTTTGGTTCATGGGAAAGGAGGCTTGGGGATGGGAAATCAATTGCTTTCCCATGTTTGGTAAGTCCAAGCATGGGAAATGGTTGCCTGGCACATGAGAAAGTAGAGGGGAAAGTGAAGCCCTCCTTCCCCCTTGGGTTTTGTTTTCCCTCCTCATGGGAAAGTTTGGGAAAATGAGCCAACATTAAATGCACATTTTTCATGACTATTTTGTCCCCATTAACAATTTAGAATTACAATATATATCATTCAATGCATTCTTTTTTTTATATGATTTAATATGGGTATAATTGGAAAATTATACAAACTTTGTTTTCCATTCCTACTCAAAACAAACATGGGAAAGGAAATAAAGTGATATCTCCTGGTTACTTTCCCAGCATTACCAAACATGGGAAAGGAATCTTCCATTTCCCATCCCTTGGGAAATGACATGGGAAATGATTTCCCCTCAAATCCGTTCTGTGAACCAATGAAAAAGGAGCAAAACAATCACCAATGATGTAAACACTGTCAATAAATAGACTTACTTGATTCATTCCCAGGTACTCTGATACCCGTAGTGCAAGAAAGTGCTTGTAGGCATTGATCAAACGACCGATCAGAACAGATGGCGTAAGCAACTGAAAGCAACAACCTTATTCAGTATTATGTAACGAAAATAACATGCATATGCAGCAAGTTGGAAAATGAGAAAAGTTAGCTTCAAAAACCTTGTATTGTTGAATACTAAGAGGCATTCCAACGTCAGGATGCCGCACAGCATTTAAAACTCGCAAAGTTTTACACATCTCTTGAATATGATCCCGTTGAAAATTGCTGCCAAAGCCAACTGGATATCATTACCGAGACCAGAAATCAGAAAGAATGTTCTTTCAAGACCATGGAAACTAAGAACTATGTAGTTAGCATGCACTGAACGAGAATATGGACAATTAATAGGAATGAAAGTTACTGCAACAAATATATATATATATATCAAAGTCCAGTCGATGAAATGTTCGAAATGGTTAACTCTATCCTCTGGGGACATCAAATGAGAATGAAGTATGGGGAAAAGAAGATTATAGAAATCTTCTTGTGCAAAATGGACTTCATATTTAACAAACACAAACTCAACAAAGCCATAAATCCAAAACACTTGGAATACTCTGGATACAAAAGGGAAAATGTAGGAATAACTTATATACGTTTCTCCACTCATATTCACAGAAAAGTTGGATCTCCCAAATTGTATGCATTTTTTATGCACCAAGATACAAAATGGTAGCAAAAGTCCCTTTCAGTTATTGCAACTAGGTTTCAGGTTTTAATACAACCAGATAACAAGGAAGCACAATTTCCACAGCAAAGAAATTATCAGCGAGAGCTCAACATTATTCAGGCATGGAAAGCTAACTAAAATATCAGCACTGTTGCCTGACTCAAACTTGGAAATCCTACTTTCCCCAAACCATTCGCGGCAGAAGCACATAAAGGAAAGGTAAAGAGGTTAAATAATTGATAACGCAAAATGCTAACAACTTAACACGGGCGAGTTCAAATTCTACAGCAATATCAAGCCAGACAAACCTGCAAAAGGCTTGGCCATAGCTTGCAGCTCTTAGGAGCGTCCGTTGACGTAGAACATCAAATTCATGGCCAGCAGCATCAATACATGCTTCAACAGCCTCCGGCAAGGATGGGCGTATTAGTCGCAAATTCTCATCTGCCTGGTGAAACATGAAATTAGAATACTAAGAACAATTTAACCTTGTCGTTTAACTCATGAGTTTTACAGGTATAAAAAGCTGGGGTGTTTCAATAATTTCTTCTTGACTTTCTTTTGTTATGTTGCAGGGATTTGCACTTCGTTTTGATAATCCAGTGGAGGTTATCTATTTCTGTCTGATTAAGAAACAAAAAAAGAGTAACCTACCTTGGCACTTTGTCTGTCAAAATGATCCAAAGCATCATACAACAATGCTGCAGGTGACGTACTTCCAATCTTGAAGATGGATTCAGTGGAATCGGGCACCCGTTGTAGAAACTCCATGCTCGAGTTAGATAATATCCTTACTCCATCGCACTCAGGAATAAGAATTATCGGTTCATCATAAAAGTAGCGCACCGGATCTCCTCTAGGACCCATCATCAAAAGCATATCATCCCAATAGAGCAACACTGTGTCCATTCCACACCACGCTAGCTGTTCAGGAGGAAGCGCTGACTACAACACACAAAATACAAATATGCACATTACAATCTGCTATAGTGCCATAATGGACATGAAAACAACTGAGCAATTTTTACTGAGAAACATAACAAAAACTGTAATGTTGCTTCAAAATGCGAGTTGTTCATTCTTAATGACAGACATCAAATTCATGCCGTGAAATTCAAATTGAATAATAGACAAAGAAACAATTAAAATTACACATTGAAAACTGAAGAATCTGACCTCACATTCCTGCTCAATTAGGATATCGTTCAAATTCGAAGTCATGACCAACAATCGACCATCGTGCGTGAACGAAGCAAGCCACTGTCCATCTCTCGAAACAGCCATCTTCTGAATTGGTCCACGCAACACCTCAAGACCTAGCTGCTGAACGCCATCTTCCTCCACAGCCAAGACGCAAGCGTCTCCAATCCCAAGAAGAACCTCCACATTCCCGGACATCGTGTACTGAGGCTCGATCACTGCCATACAAAGCGGCGGGTCCTCGATCTCCGGGTCGGCCAATTTAACCGGGTTCGGGTTCTTGAAATCGGAAATGCAAAACAGCTGATTCGTTTCGGTGATGCAAACGAGGCCGTTTCCCCAGAAGACGCAGTCCACGACGTTTCGCTCGAAGCACTCTTGGCCCATGGAGATGCTCGATTCGAGGAGCTCGGCGTGGATGGTGTAGCGGAAAACGGTGCCGTCCTGGACGAGGCAGACTAAGGTTTGGTCGTCGGTCCAGGCCATGCCGATTAATCGGCCGCCCGGGTGTTTCCATATGGTCTCGCCCAGGAGATGGCCCGAGGAACTGAAGATTCGGAGCTTGCGTTGCGCCGATTCGCCGCCGAGTTGGACGATCTTTGAATCGTCTCGGATGACGGCGATGGGGCCGCCGAAGGGAGCGCAGGCGACCTTGTTGCGGTTCAGCTCCACGTGCTTCCAGCTCATTCGGTAGATTTCGGGCTTGCGATAGTACCGGTTGTAGAGGAGCTGCCACTCCGCGGCAACCGAGACGTTGGCCATTTCTGATTAATCAAAAGTTACAATCCTTGCTAACTTATGAGCATAATCACTAGATTCTCGTCTGAGATGAGTTTCCGAGCTCAATCTGTGAAATTGAGCGAAAAATGATAAATTTAAAAAATTCGACCAAAAAAAACACTGAAAAGCCCAATGAATTTTGGAGGGAACAAGTTAGTTACGCTAATGGGCCGTATCTCTACAGCCCAAAAAACACTAAAGATGAATTCATGATTCAAAAACCGAAAATTGGTGCTAACGAGGGTTGGTTCAGTTGGTAAGGTCCCTGTACTGAGTGTTTGAGTCCTGCTGCCAGTAGTCCTCGTTGGTGCACGATCTGTAATTTCCTACATAAATCCATACCGATAGCAACTGGCAGTTGAGTGCCACGCGTAAATCCTTTCTGCTTGAGGTTGTAGATTTGTCCTGGCATTGGTGGTGAGAGTAGCCAACCTCCCCCTAAACTTTTGTTCACCAAAAAAAAAAAAAAAATCAAAAATTGGTGGTATTTCGGTATTATCGTAACACTATCACGATGTTAGAAATCTACTTATACTATAACATATCTTTTATCAATTTAATATTAAAATAATATGTGATCGGTCCATATAATATAATATAAATTAGTAATACCAGGTAGCAGCACTACGATCACGTTAAAAATTGACTAAAAGTTGGAGGTTGTTAAGAGCTCCAATCAAGGAATCTTCCTAAGCGAGTACTTTATTATTATTATTTTTGGGGTAGCTTCCTAAGAGACTACTCGATTATGCTTCAAACACAATGCTTAGCTGAGAATGGATTGGTATATCCATTTAATTAATGATCTTTGGCACATTCCTCATATAGATTCAAAGGAGGTCTCATCTTTGATGCTACTTTTTAACTAAATAAGCTATTAATTATTGCTTAGAGCATTAATTAGCATTCTTTCATTCAAGGTCATGAAATGATTGTAAGATGACAAGGCTGTTAAAATCAAATGTGACATGTCAACAACATAAGGAACTTTTATGAGTGGTTCATGTGATATTGTGATGAATCCAGAAGACATAGACTTCTTTCAGTGTGTGGGTTAATAATAGAACAGCATATTTCTCATCATGGTGCTTCTTACCGATAGCCTGTTTAAGGATTTTGACATCCTAGCAATAAATGATCCGGATGTGCAACAAATTCTAGAGTGTGACGCGTAAACTAAACCGCGAAGAAACATACACACACTCAAGATGCTATACATATGTAAACAAAATTACTATCCTGTACAGTCACGAGGTTAGATGTTCTACTCTAGACGACTTTACTCAAGGTCTTTCAATAGAACCTGTCATTTACAGATGGTAATCTGATAGAGTTCAACTCATTAGGAAGTCTACCGCATAACAACCTAAATCGAGAGTCTATGAATTGTAGTTGGTGCCTGTAGCGCTATTGTTAATTTTACTATTACACTAAATTCGACAACGGGTAATATCATATTTAGTCTCAATATCTTAAATCCACAAATTTCTTAAAAGACGGTCTCTACTTCACTTCTTACAACCAGCCATCACATGAGATAATTTTATAATATATAACTTAACCTCTTCTAGTCTCTTCATTGATTTACTCATTGGGGGTGTACATAATGATCATATGATGAATCATCCAACTAGAAATTCTTTTATCCAAAAGTCATTCATAAACAAAGCTCTTGGCTTGACTAAGCCCAAAGTTTCTTATAATTACAGCTAGTCTTATTTGCTATTACTAGCATATTTGACAACTAGGAGAGCCTGAAGTTTCTACTCTTGTCATGCTATCATCAGCTTCATCCAGTAACTGTATAGGAGTTCTAAAAAGATAAATAATAATATGCATTATATTATACTGTAGTTTTCCACCCCACGGAAACATAAAGCAGAAACTCTTTCCCGGTTTAGATTGATTCTGATTAGGTGTGTGGATCACAAGCAGAACAGATTAAGGTTCTTTCTCTTTTTGCACCGAAAATTAATAGTAAAACAAAAAAAAAATTAAAGATAAGCTCTCTTTGTCAAACATGTAACAACAAGTATAAGTTACAAATGTTCATGATGAAATTCAAGGAATCAATCAAGTGCAGTATTTGAAAAGGAGAGGACCACATTTAGCTTTTTTTATGCAATCAAGATTAGATTTCCCACAACAACAAAAAGGTTGCATGAGCTACGCTGTCTTTGGTCCACCAGCTATACTGAGATGTGATATGATCCATTGTGCCATGTATAATTTTAACAGCTTGGATTGGTCTGCAGTGGTGATATTATAGAAAGAAAAAAACCCCACAAAGAAGATGGTCAAAATAAAATTCTCTCTTGTTCCAAGACTTTCTCTCTCTTCCTTGAGATTTCTATTGTAAATCGAGGTTATATTAATCCTAAAATAAGAGAAATTCAAACTTTTTAATGTTTTATGAGTAAGGTTGTGGGTTTTTCTTCAATGGGTTGGTGCAATATTTTCTGTTCAAGCATACAATACTGCACAATGGTTAGTGGGAAGCGGAAGATAATGTTTAAGTAGTGAACCCACAATGCTATTTTCTTTGAACATTGAAAACCTGACATTCTTTTTGCTCTGAAATTCCACATTCTTCTTTCCATCAACCAAAAAGCCTGTCAAAGTGAACCCCACAAGGTTGAAATATCACTTCATGCCAATTATCCTCCACTTTCTTTTCTTACTCATGTTTTCTCACTGAGACCATCAACATCCATGCAATTCCCATCCTTATTACATTAAAGAATCCCACTTCGCCTTCTTTAAACCGAAAGAAACAGAAGGGAGGAATTAATCTTGCAGCTTTTAAGCTTCTTTCTTCAACTTGCTCACTTCCATTGTGACGTATCAGTGTTTTTTTTTTGAAGTGGGGTAATTTGTCTGTGGCAGAGAGAGAGAGAGAGCATAAGCTGCCAATTCTGTAGTGTGTGTGGGGGGAAGAGACTGGCAAGGCAATCAAGTGCTGTGATGCACTAAACCTTATTGTCTGCAACTGAGGCTTCACCAGCATACAAAGCTTTTCAACATCTCATTAAGTTGGTTTGTGCTTCATTTTCATAGATAAAGCAAGATGCAGTTTCTTCAGAAATTGGGTTTCTTCTGCATTCATGCAAGTGTTCTTCTTCTTCTTGTTTCACCACTCGTCAGCTCATCTCAAGAACACACAAAAGGTGCAAGCAGTCAAGAGGACAACAATATTCATAAGGTATTTCATTCAAAACTTCCTGTATTATATTGATGATGCTAAGTGCTAACTAGATTTTGGTGCATGATTTTACAGCAGATGAGCCACAAACTATTGTTTGAAATCACACTCCATGGGTTTCTTCTTTGGGCTTCAATGGGGTTCTTGATGCCTCTAGGAATACTTGCCATTAGAATGTCACACAGAGTGGAGTGTGGAAGAAGGCTCAGAATTCTCTTCTATGTTCATGGCTTATCAGAGGCAAGTTCTTCTATGTTCTGTTATTTTATCATGCTCTTCCATAATCTAGATTAACAAAGAGAGATGTCTTTTTTTTCTTCTTCATGGTTTTGAATTTCCATCACTTGAAAAAGACTAACTAAAGTGTTTATTAAAAAAAAAAAACATAGTTTATGCTATAAAGTTTGTTTATCAGGATCAGATGCCCCACTCTTACTTCCAAAGATGGTGAAGGGAAATTAAAGCAAAATGATTTCTGATTGGCAAATTGTTTAAGTAGCACACAGTTTCCTGATAACCAATCAAAATTTTCCTTTTCTTTTAAAGAAGATTATCATGAATGCTTAGAGGGCAAGAGAAGAGTATGATCATAAGATTCATAGCTTTCTGATTATTTTATTTGAGACTTGGCACATGTGTGTGTGTAGAACATAATTATAGTGTTAGGTGCTGCATTTACCAAATCTGAAATCACATCATACACACAACACAACTAAATATATGTACTGGCTTTTGATTCAATTAATTACCACATGAGTTTCATGTCTGATTAGTTTATTATGTTCAACAGCTGCTCTCTGTACTTCTTGCAACAGCAGGAGCGGTAATGTCCTTCAGAAACTTCAACAATTCCTTCAACAATAAACACCAAAGGGTTGGGGTAGGCCTGTATGGTCTAATATGGTTGCAAGCCCTGATTGGGTTTGTGAGGCCACAGAGGTAAACTACCAAAAGTCTTCACCAAATCAATTTGTTTTTTTTGTTTTTTGTTTTTGTTTTTTGTTTCAGTATGAACTTGTGGTTGTTTAAAAGAGCAAAAGTACAGAATATTTTACTGTAAATGAAGCCTAAGTTAAGAAATTATGTAGAATGGTTCAATACTTGTATTGTTTTCTCTTTCAATATGTTTCTTTTTATTGAACTTTTGTAGGGTAGAGGGTTTAGGGGGGAGAAGAAAAGGTGAAAATGATTTCAATTATGAGTAGACTACATCTTTTTTTATGCTCTGCAGGGGATCCAAGGGAAGAAGCATATGGTTTTCTGTGCATTGGATACTTGGAACTGCAGTTTCCCTACTTGGGATCCTCAACATATATACAGGTTTACAAGCCTACCATGAGAAGACATCAAAAGGCATAAGGCTTTGGACCATAATTTTCACTGCTGAGTTCTGTTTCATTGCCTTCTTCTACCTGTTCCAAGACAAATGGGTGTATATACGAAAGCAAGGAGTGATTTTGGGTAGTGACCCAGTAAGGCCCACTATAGATCAAGTGGTTTTGCCACCAGAAAAGCAAAAGGAATTAGTGACAGAGTCTTGTTAAGAAGGCAAATCACCAAATGGCCGGTTTTAAGTTTTAACTGACATGGAATTCCTCTTCTTTTTTTTTCTTTTTTTTCTTTTTTTTCTTACTATATGGAAAATCACCAAAAGCTTTGGTTTTAAGCTTTTTCTTCTTAAACTTTTTCACTAGGAACGGTTGGTGTTTATAGCTGGTGAAGCATTGGATGTTGGGATGTGGATTTCTTCTAATAAAATAGTGATGTTTTTTGCTAATATTAAGTTATTTTGAAACACAAATTGTCATTTGAAGTTTGTAAGTTGGACTCTGTCTGAGATTTTGAGGCTTCTATGAGTAACAATTAAGCAGAGTGTAAATGTTTACAAAGTGAGTGAAGAACGCAATTTCAAGAAGTTGGTGTCATTTATTGAACTGCAAGACAATTGTTGACCTATTCCTTAAGAAACTTAACTCTTAATTAAGAAATCTCTAATTAGCTTTCACACCCAACCCAAGTATAAAGTCTGCCTCAAGCCTGTTTGAATGTCAAAAGGGGTTTCGTTTTCATGGGCAGTTGCTGAAGTACAATCTGTAGATGCAATGACTATAGGAGATAACATTCTGAGCTCTTATAAGGGATGCATTACTACAAGGGGCTTGTAGCTCAAGTGGTTAAGAACATTTACCCCTACACCTGAGATTCTAGGTTCGATTTCCCCTCCCCCAATATAGCTTGTATAAAAAATAGGATGCATTACGGATATTTCCAATTATATCAAGGGGTCAAGACACCTTAACATCAAGTAAAAAGCATGCAATTGGCAGACTGATGCAGAAAATACTTGATCTTCACAAAATTTATGAAAATTAAACAAAAAGAAAAAAATGAAGTACTTGAAGCACTGCATCTCCAAATTCATATAACTTAATTTCTGTATTCTATTTCAGTAGTATAATGTCAAGGGAAAAGCTGTACATAACCTGTTAATATAGCAATTCCTAATATTACAAGAGGTGGAACAAGTACAAATGCTCCAATGGTGGCAAAGAAAACTGAATCATTCCTCTTAGATACTTCGTTTAAGTAAGCCTGTCTTTTGATATTTCTCTTCTGCGAGATGGTTAATTCCTTGGCAATCACCTTTTTAAAATTTTTACCAAGTGGAATGCTGAAATCACCGTCTCTGTCCCCAACCAACTGCGCTAGCTGGTCACGAATTGTAAGTTTCCGGGAGCTACCATCACTCTCATACCCTGGCAATCAAACATGTAATTCTTAGCATTCTCTTTCTTCATTTTCAGTGAGCAACATACGATATGTCTGTTTCAAAATGTGGACAGAAATCACATACCACCATCAACTGATGAGCTTGTTGTAGAGGTAAGTTGCTCCAGAAGATTCAGCTGTGTGCGAGCAGATGACGAAGATCCTGTAAAGAAAAATGCATATGAGAAGTGTTTAAAGTGAAGCCAATATACTCTTACATTTAAGCTGAGCTTCTTGCATCACTGAATTTCAAGTAACCAAATCCAAAATAAAATCTACTGCTTTTCAAAAGGGAACAGAACAAAAGGTCATGGAAGCCAGAACTACGAAAGATGGTTAAGACCGTGACATAATAAAGCACTGCAAAGAGTCTTAGTGTCACTCTAAAGTCCTTGCTTTTCCTCTAATTGCTTGCTAATGTCGAATCGCATCGTTATATAGCAGACAGTGAAAAAGCTTAGATTAGATTGTTTAAAGGGCCTCAGAGGTAGTTAATATTATCACTTTAAGCTAACTAAACTGATTAAATTGGACACTCAATCAGGTCTACTGATTATAACAAAAGGGTAAAAGAACATTCATAGTATACTGACCGGAGAGAGAAGCAGGAGGGTCTTCGTCTTTAACCCAGCTCTCAATTCTGTCTGACTGAGCAGAAGTTCTAAAAGTAGTATTGGACCTGAACTGGGGTTTGCGTTTTGGGTTTAGAAATGGAGGACGAGGAGGAATAGAAGAAGAAGAAGAAGAAGGAAATGGAGAAGGGTTCGGGTAGAGAGAAGCAGCAGTAACATTCAGGGCCATATTTTTATGAAATTTGTGAGTTTAGAAGGTTCCTTTTCCATGGCCTTTCTTTGAGGCTATAATTCAGTTGGCCTTCGAATTTCTGTTGCATTACGCCGACCTCAACTTATGTGGGCTAAAAGAAATGCGGGAAAAAGCTCCTCCACATATATTGCACTTAAACATACCTCTGTTTTTAGCTTTTTCTTTTTCTCCTAGGGGATAAAAAACATGCTTTTGCATATTGGAAAATAAATTGGCTATCAAAGGGATTTATATGATGCAAATGACAAAATAGTTTGGAGAACTTAATGCTAGAAAAGTTGAGAAAGATTGCATCCTTGAATTAGAATGAGTAATGAATTTTAGTTTGTTGTATTAAAGGGATGTTATTGGTGTGGGATGATATATAATAACAAATAGTGACTACCTTGAGAGTATTTCTAGGATTGTCTCTAAAATTTAGCTAAATTTGAGCTAAAATAGCAAAAAAGTTATTACAGCAAACTACTTAAAAAGTGTTTCCTCCTACAATGTTCTCTATTTTCCAAAAGTGTGTTTTTCCAATGGAGAGCCAAGTAGCAAACTTGCTGGAGTTGCGATTTTCCCTTCTTGTCGTCGAAATGAGTAAGGAGCGGAGTATAGCAACTCGGCTGAAGATGCTCTTAGTTTAAGCAAAGAGACTAAACCAATTAGCGGGACTGTGAATTGCAATTTCATTAGTTTGGTCTAAGATTATACTTCTTTTAGTGTAAAAAATCAAGCTAATTTTAATTGTAAATTGTGACTACCGAATTAAGTAGCCGGTTTGAATCGCTTTTTCAATTTTTTTTCCCCACCCCTAACTTATTGAAAAGGAGATTAAATTAAATCAATTTCTATAAATTTAATTGAATCACATAAATTTGGATTCTACTAATTATTTGAATACTCAGGTCAATGTTTGTTGTTAAATCCTAAATATTTGAAGTTTGAACTTCCAGATTACGCAAACCATTAATATCTCCGTGGCCCCCACAAACAGTGCATGGCCCCCATAATCTAACAAAGGATCACCGTTGAGGAAGGATCCTAAGGATATCCTACTGTATAAACTCTGACTTTCGTTAATCCCACGGTCCCCACCAACATAACATAATCCAACTTGCAATCTGATGCTAAATCCCACTAAATTACCAAAATAACCTCACGATTCATTGCCCTCTAAGAAATGCTTTTTTAGAATCACGCCAATAATTAATTTTGTGTTCTACTTATATCTAAATTATATAAAGTTTTTAAAATTAAAATAAGGGCCATGATGCATGTTTGTTTTGTTCTCCATTTGAGAAATGTCATCAGCAATAATTTGAACATTTTCTTTGAAATTGAAAACAAATGTTAGCAAAAAATAATTGGAGCAGGGGCGTTATGGTCATTTCGGACTGAGCCCGTCGACACGGCCAGTAATATGACCGTTGGAGCCCTGCAAAAACCAGGCGTTTCGAAGCATTAAATTAAATTAAATAAAAAGGGCAAGGAGATATATCCCAAGGTTTTCAGCGAATCAGATACCAAGCAGAAGACTTCACAAGTTGAAAACCCAAAACCTTTCCTTTTCCATAACCCCACTCAACCCTCTCTCTCTCCCTCTCTCATGGAAAGAACCCCAAAACAAAGGGAGGAAGAAGCTGAAGAAAGAGGCGGTGGCGGTGCTGGTGGTGTCGGTGTATTATTAATGGCCGAAGGTGGTGCAGAGGAGATAGCCAAGGAGATTGTGGCAGCAGAGGAGGCCCCTCATCCGTACGCTTTTCATGTATCTGGACCTCGAAATTTGGCTGCTCCGAATTGGAGGGACCTTATAAACTCTAGTTGGTCAGTACCCATTTCATTTCCTTTATGATTTTTGTAAGATTTCATTGTCTTCATTCTTGGATTACGGTGAATGGCCAATATGTTACAAAGCTCTGCTCTTAAGAGAGTTTCACATTTTTGGCAGAGGAGGTTTCTCTGTCTTTAAGAAATTCTGTGTAATGTGTTGAATTGTTGCTTAAAAAACATTATCAGAATGGGTTTCATTACAAATTTGAAAATTTGGAATGCCATGCTTGGATTTTTTTTTGAGTTTTATTGGTTGGTTGGTGTAAAATATAAAAGGAAACTACCTTTGAAACAGAGAAGATAACAGAGTTTTTTTTTTTGGGTCTAGTTTTTGTCAGTCTATGTTTTGAGCTTTTATTAAAGAGTTAATAAATTAGGGAAATGCATCTTAGATCTCAGATCATTTCAACTAGGATCAGCCGAGAAACCTGGTATCAAATTTCGCTGCATTTTTGTGGGACTTTCCTTAAGTTATGGGCTCCTAGATTTTTGAATTTTGGGGGGTGATCTCATTCCATTCTTCTAGTCTTTGATATGGAAGGTTATTATTCTATGATGATATGGATTACTTATGGAAAGTTAGTTCCATTTTAGTAAGCTCAAATTCCAATTATAGTTAAGTCTCGAATTTTTTTTTGGGGTCATATAAGTCTAATTTGTATCTTATTGTGTTTGCTTGGTTGCTTTGTTTCAAATTTAGGCAGAACTGGTTCTGGGTTAAACTTCTTATGCTTGTTTGTCTCCCACATATGACAGTGGCACAACTTTCATGTAGCATAGGGGATGAAAAAACATATCCCACTAATATTGGTAAATTCTTTCTTTTCATGCAGGAAGGACGGGAATTATAAACGAACTGTGATTGCATGCTTCATACAAGCAATATATTTGCTTGAACTCGATAGACAAGAGAATAGAGATGAAACAAATGCTCTAGCTCCTAAGTGGTGGATACCTTTTAAGTATAAACTATCGCAAACCTTAATCGATGAAAGAGATGGATCCATATTTGGGGCAATTTTGGAATGGGATCGGTCTGCAGCACTTGCTGACTTTGTACTTATCAGACCAAGTGGTGCACCAAAGGCGGTTTTAGCACTTAGAGGAACATTGCTCAAAGGCCCAACTATGCGAAGGGATATCGAAGACGACCTTCGTTTTCTTGCTTGGGAGAGCTTAAAGGGTTCTGTTAGGTTCAAAGCAGCCATGGAGGCTCTGAAATCAGTTGCTGAAAGGTATGGAAGCAGTAATGTATGCATTGCGGGACACTCATTGGGGGCTGGATTTGCTCTCCAAGTGGGAAAAGCATTAGCGAAAGAAGGGATGTATGTGGAAACTCATTTGTTCAATCCGCCTTCTGTTTCGCTA